GAAACAGGTCGTTACCCAGATTTCCTTTGACGATGGCAGGACCTTTGAGCCCCTCAAAGCCGATGGCGACAAGATTCACCTCCACTCAGTCACCGAACTCGATAACACTGGGAGGGTCTTCACAAGCCCAGCCCCCGGTATTGTCATGGGCAACGGAAATACGGGCAAGGCTCTTGGCAAGTTTGCAGATGCCAATCTGTATGTCTCAGATGATGCCGGTATCACGTGGAAGGAGGCCTTGAAAGGACCTCACAAGTACGAATTCGGCGACCAAGGGTCGATTCTTCTTGCCGTCAAGGACTCCAGAAAGGATGATGTTTCTGAAATATCGTATTCCCTGGACCATGGCGAGCACTGGGAATCAGTCACTCTGCCAGACAAGCTCACTGTCAAACCAGCGATCCTTACAACCACCCAAGACTCGACCAGTCTCAAGTTTCTCCTCATTGGCGAAAAGGACAGAGCCTATCATATGATTGCTATTGACTTTGGAGCTATGGACAAGCGGACTTGCGAGGATAAAGATCTCGAGGACTGGCACGCCCGCGCGGATGACGATGGGAAGCCAACTTGTATCATGGGACACAAGCAGACGTACCGCCGCAGAAAGAAGTCGGCTGATTGCTTCATCAAGAGTAACTTCAAGGATCCCGTTCCCGTCACTGAGGACTGCGAGTGCTCCGATGCGGACTTTGAGTGTGATTACAACTTTAGGAGGGACCCGGATGATAGAAAAGTATGCAAGCAAGTCGGACCAATTCCATCTCCAGACGGTGCTTGCAAAGACAAGTCCGGAACCTTCAAGGGCTCTTCTGGCTGGAGGCTCATCCCGGGTAACACTTGCAAGCGGACCAAGGGCGAACAGAAGGATGATCCGGTCGAGCGCAAGTGTGAGGATGCCACCGTTCCGGGGGTTCCAGGAACTCCGGCAAGTGGAGATGTAACTCACAAACAATTCATTTTCGACACCAAGCTTCAGGATTTCCAGAAGATCTACCTCGACAGGAGTGATTCCAGCCAGTCCGATGACGAAACCGTCATCGTTAGACCCGCCGAGGACGAAGGAAACGGCCGATTGAAGATTGAGCAAAAGCTCTGGCTGTCTAGTGATCACGGCAAGAGCTTCAAGCGTATTTTGGAGGGCGAGAAGATCCAGGGCATCTATCCCCATGTATACCTCAAAGACCTCGTTTACTTCACTACTGGCAGCGACAAGGTCATTTATTCTCTTGACCGCGGCAAGAGCTTCCACAGCTTCAAAGCACCAACAGACCCCGGTGATAGATTCCCGCTGAGCTTCCATCCAGACAAGAGAGACTGGCTCATTTGGGTTGGCCAGACCTGCGACAAAGTTGGAGGGAAAGAAACTTGTTTCCCCGAGGCGTCCATCTCGATTGATCGCGGCGATAACTGGAAGACAATGCTCCGCTTTGCAGAGAGATGTGAGTTTACCGGCCACTCGGCATACAAGTTCCGGTCGCAGAAGCAAATCATCTGTCTTGCAAGGGAAGAAGAGAACAGCGATGCGCCGTTGACCATCATGACCAGCGATGACTTCTTCCAGGAGGACAAGGCCGTCTTCAAGGATTCCGTTACCAATTTCGCAACCATGAACGAATTCATTGTTGTGGCTGGCAGGGATCCAGAAACCGAAGATATGCACGCTCTCGCCAGTCTGGACGGCAAGCACTTTGAGAGGGCTCACTTTCCGTACAACTTCCACGAAGGTCACGAGAACGAGTATACGCTTCTTGACAGCTCAACCCATGCCATTAACCTGTTCGTCCGCACCGAAGGCGGTGCTGACCGAGAGTATGGCTCAATCATCAAGAGCAATTCCAACGGCACGTCCTATGTTCTCAGCGCGGCCAACGTCAACTGTAACGAGGAGACGTACGTCGACTTTGAAAAGGTCGCAGGCCTCGAGGGCGTCACCTTGATCAACATTGTAACAAACGCCAACAAGGGAGAGAAGACGAAGGACCTCCAGACCAAGATCTCTCACAATGACGGCTCCGAATGGGGTTTCTTGGCCCCGCCCGCCAAGGATGTGGATGGAAAGGCCTATCCTTGCAGTAGCTCCAAGGGAGATGAGTCTTGTGCCTTGCATCTCCATCACTATACTGAGAGAGACGACAAGAGAAAGACGTTTGCTGCGGCCACTGCCGTTGGCCTCATCTTTGGCATTGGCAACGTCGGGTCCAAGCTTGGCGAGATTAAAAACGCAGACACGTTCATGTCAACTGACGGTGGCGTTTCTTGGAAGAATGTCAAGAAGGGAAGCTGGTCGTGGCAGTACGGAGACCAGGGCTCGATCATCGTCCTGGCACAAAGATACACGCGTAACAATCCGGTCAAGTCCCGTTATGTCTCGTACTCGACAGACGAAGGCAACACATGGAAGAATTTGGAGTTTGCCGACTCGGATGTGGCACTCCTCGACATCACTACCCTACGGTCCGGCACATCGCGCAACTTTTTGCTTTGGTGCCGATCCGGTCGAGGCAAGCTCTTCTCCGTCAACATCGACTTTAGTGGCTTGGCCGACAAGCCCTGCGAGCACACCAAGGCCAGCGACTCTGATTATTACTTGTGGTCTCCCAAGCATCCCTTGCAGGATGACGACTGTCTCTTTGGGCACGTCTCCAAGTACCTACGCAAGAAGACTGATCGCAAGTGCTACAATAAGCAGAATCTCCAGCGACTTTACGAGCATGAGGACTGCGCTTGCAGCCGACGAGACTATGAATGGTAAGGGCATCCCTCTACTCAATACGTTGATCTCATGACTGACCAAAAAATTAGCGATTTCAACTTTGAACTAGACAACCATGGACAGTGCCAGCTGGTGAATGGCTTCACCCCCCTCACTGGAGACGATTGGTGTGAAAAGTACCCCAACGAGACATCATACTTTGAACCCACGGGTTACCGTAGAGTTCCCTTGTCCACCTGTAGCGGCGGCAACGAACTCGACAAGACGTCAACGGAACATCCATGCAAAGGCCACGAAGAAGATTTCAAGAGGAAGCACGGCACGTCCGGCGTCGTGATTTTCTTTGCCGTTGTCATCCCGTTTACTCTGGCCGGCATCATCGGCTGGTACGTGTACCGCAACTGGAACGGCAAGTTTGGACAGATCCGCCTGGGAGAGAATTCGTCGACTTTCGACAGCGACCAGCCCTGGATCAAGTACCCCATCATCGCCGTGTCCGCCGTCGCAGCAGTGGTGGTCTCCCTGCCCGTCATGGTGTCCAGCTTGGCTCGTCTGGCGAGCGGCTCCTTTGGGCGGTTTGGCCAGAGGAGCGATGGCAGCTGGTTCTCAAGAGGCGCCAGGAGGTTCACGACGCGCGACAGCTTTGCGCGTGGACGAGGCGACTACTCGATTGTGGATGATGAGGGCGAGCTCCTTGGCGAGGAGAGCGATGAGGAGGTGTAAAGGCAAGGGAGAGGCGAGCGAGCGAGGTACAACAGGGTATACGGGAAGTGTATGAAATAGGCGGCTTCCGTTGCGGGAACTTGACAAAAAGATTTACTTGTGCGGAGGAGAAATGGGCTGGGATTATAGCAGCTTGCTGTGATCTCTTTTGATTAGCGAGGTTCCATTGCTATTTTTAGGATATTGTATATGTTATATAGGAGAGACGCTTCAATACTTTCTCTTTTATGCAAAATGAGCCACGAATGAAGTCATGTATCCCGTTGTACGGAATACACACCATATGTACAAAGTAATGTTTACCCAACCAAAAGCTGAAAACCGTTTCATCCATTCATCCATCTACCCTTTGATTCATCTACCTACCGTCAAATAACATAAAAGAAACCCCCTAAATTCCAAAGCAAACACATCACAAGCAGTCAAATCAATCCACTCCTTATCCAAAAACACACAAACCACCATACACATACATACGCATACACATACGCACATGCACATACACATACACAATACACAAATGCACACAACTCTCACTCTCACAACACAATTTTTAGAAAAAAAAGAAACAAAAAAGCAAGGCCCCCAAAATTCCAAATCCCGCCCGCCCCCCCTTGTTATCCATCCCTTCAAACCTCCCCTTACGTCCACCTTCCCGCGGTTCTCCATCTTCTTACATAGATAGACTCAAAGCTAGGACTTCCAAATCGGCGATCGACCGAGAAAGAAGAAGAAGAAGAAGAAGAAAGGAGAATGTGCTTTTATGAGCGTATCTCGCAACGTGTATGTAATAAGATAAGAGAGCGTCAAAAAGAAAAAGCGCACATGGACTTCAACGCGTGTGTCGCTCGTGTCGTCTTCTCCCTTACACTGGGCTAAAAGTCCTAGTTCATGTAAGTCCTAGCAACAAAACAAGACAGGCCGTCATATGGACGGAACCAAACACCCAACTAAACAAGCACATGTGGAAAGAGGGAGCAAAAGTCACTCGTAGATCAAAAGGAAAGGTAAAAAAGACATTGGTAAATGTTCGACAACAGCATCAATAACAAGGACACAATATATTACATCAGCCCTCGCCAAGGGCTTCTCATGAGTTTTGCAATTCCATCCCATCGCTCGTCAATAACAAAGATCCGTCCAAGTAATTCAATCAATCCAGTAGTCCTAATCCTAAAACGCCAGCCAGAAATAGAGCGCTTCTTTTTATGCCAGATAAAGTAAAAATGAGTGTGTTCGTGACGTGCTTTTCTTTCTGCAAATTACAGCCAAACTAATATTTGGCTCCCCCCATATATGTTCTCATACTAAACAACAAAGAGAATGACAAATTTGTAAGAGAACATGTTATAAATGAATGACAAAAAGGACAGTGGGGTATATGTGATGCATGCTGTATGCTATAATGAGAGGTATAGTTTTGGAGGTAATGGCATGTTGTAGTGAGTGGGTGAAAGGGCGAACCACAGCTTTCTTGTTAGGATACTTTCCTCGCCCATAATCCAAGAACCGAGTTGGTAGAGTAGATCCAACCCAGTCAACGAATCATTAATAAGAGCACTCATGAACGGCGGACTCGGTTCCAGAAGCGTTTTACCATGTTGTTATCGCTGCTGGCAGCTTCTTGGTCCATAATGGCGAATTGCCTTTCAATATTGTCTTTGGGGTTGGAAGCTTGAGAGTATGATCTTGGCTGAGCAGATCCGTCATGTGCTTGCCCCTTGGATGACGATGGTTTTTGCCAGCCATACATTTGCTCTTCGTCGGCTCGAAGATCAGGCCGTGTCAGCGTCATCCGTAGTGTCATCTCGCGGGATGATGCTGGCGCTTGGGCGTAGTCCACCTTGGAAGGCCAGGCTCCTTCATGGGGCAGTCGCGGCGAATGCTCAGCAGGCGGATGATCCAAGCTCTCTGGCGTTCTCGGAGAGACTGTTTCAACGGGTGATGTGGGATCACTGATGAGGGACTCCGCGTCATCACCAGTTGAGCTATGAATCTTGTCATAGGACTCTTGGCGTGACCACGATCGAATCTGAGAGGTTTCCCTGCCCTGTGTGTCGTAGAGAGATGGGAACCCAAATTCGACAGCCTCATCAAACTTGTGCGGAGACGCAAGGTATACACGAAGCTTCATGCGAGCTTCGGGGTCCTGATAGTGAGATGGAGCCGAGTCAACGACGCCGTAGTCATCAGGCATTTGACCCTTGTTTGGTGACATTAGAGACAAGGCTCTGGATCTTCGACGGAAGTGGCCAGAGGGGCTTGGTAAAGAAGGTACCACAAATTGCTCGCTCAATGCGGGAGAGGCCACGGATCCCTTGGTTGCTGGACGACTCAATTGCGAAGATGGACGTCCAAAAGACAGCTTTGATATCGATAGATGGCGAGGGAAAGGCATTCGCTTCTTCTTTCCTTGTTTGGGGCTCGACTGGTAGTCATCCAGACGAAGATCCAAGTCATCACTCTCATCAAGCCATCGGAAACTCTCGATGATCGAATCCGGTGAGGCCTCGGCGGCCAGAGCCTGTGTAAATTCGTCGTTGGGCGAGCTACTCATGGTGGAATGGAACTCGTGATAAAAGGGTTCGTTCAGATGGCTGCTTAGTTTGGGGACTTGTGTATGGCGTTTATTTATCTTGACAAACGCCTCGTCGGTAGCATCCAGTATGATGCTCTTATGGTGTGAATTAGCTGTATTCGATCGTCTTTCTCCGTTATCCGCTGGTCGTCCGTGCAGCGTATCAGCCTGGTATGGGTATAGGTGAGCGGAGCTCGATCGAACGCGCGGTTGTTGATGTGATCCAGAGATGGAGGAATCGGAAGCAAGTTCGAACTTGGATCCTGGCTGCCAGATATCTTCTTCGCTTGCGAAAGTCGATGTCGAATGGCTGCAGGGCTGATCGGAATGTCCAGCACAACAGGTCTGGGCAAAGCGCAGCCGCTCCAAGGTCGAAAAATACTGGAGCAAAAAAAGATGTCAGAATGCTATGGCCCAAGAATAGAATCAAATAAAATAAAAGACATCGGCAGAAGAAACAATAAAAGGGGCAGCCCAAGCAAGCATGTATATAAGAGAAATGCTCTGCGTGTTATTGAGAAGCTAGTGAGGCGACTACCTGAAAGGCGTATCCGTAGTCGGGTGAAATCAGAGCTGTTCTAGCTCGAACGAGGATGGCATGTCTCAACTTTGGAACGAAGAACCATGGCGAGGTGGGGAGACTTCAGGTCCAATACGGACAAAGCAGTGATGCTAGCAGCAATACTAGTTGGCCTGGGTGCACTCGCACATTGATCAGGGGGTTGCGGTATGAGTACAGTCAAGCGGCCTTCGCCCTGCAGACAAACTCATGCCAGGTACGGAGCACATACACACACAATGTTGACTCAAAACACACCGCGGTGCCTATGCTCTGGGCCAGTTTCTAAACGCGACAAGACTCCCTCAGGCTGGTTTCATCGTGGACTGGCACGTTGGTGACGATGCCAACATCATAATGGAGCCACGTTTGATGGATTTGAGAGGAGCTCGCTTGAGCTAAGCTGGCAAACCACCACCGATCAATCAAGCAGTTAGACATTGCTGAAAGCATCCATTCAATTGGACGCACCGCAGACGGCCTACAAGCGCCATGACACTAGTGTGCTGGGATGCCAGGGACGGATTCAGCCGTTCCGGCGCCATTGGCTTGTCATCGGAATTAGTGAGTGCAAGACGGAGGTGCATTGCATTGCATTGCATTGCATGGCATCGCATCTCGCCGTCCAGGCTAAATCCCACAGTTGTGAAGGGAACAAGACGGTAACAGACAGAGAGTGAGGCATCGGGAGCAAGACTGGGAGCAAGACTGAGAAGATCGCCCGCCGCTTGGTCTCAACCAACATGTCTCTGCCAATCCATACTCTGCTGTCGCTGGTGATCCCTTGAGACGCGAGACAGAGCTATTCCGACACTTGTCGTGCTTTCCGTCGACCAGGGAACCGTATGTGCGATACACCCAATTGGCTAGCATTGCAATGGCCAACTCCATCATCCAAGACAGACAACGCATGAAACGCTTTAATACAGACAGAATCCGCTATTGTTGGGCAATGCATTCTGACGTCCAGATCCAAGCAACACCTTGTGCTGTTGGCCCTGTTTCTCCGTCTCATTTCGCCTTTCTCTGACCTCTTCTATGCATTCATCTGCGACACAAACTGGCAGGCCTTGTCATTTGCCCAACACCGCAATGCTTTTTGAAAACACATGGGGTAAAATACATGTTTGAGGTGAATGCAGGGACGAGCCATCTTGAAAAAAAGAAAAGAGAAGAAAAAAAGATCGGTGTACGAGGACATCGCTGAGGCTAGTTTCCACCACCTGATGGGCGGATCAAACGCAACGATAACAGCATGATCGTGAGAGAGAATAGCCACTTACTTTTCTTCGAACTGTAGGCGGCAGTGCTTCGAACTCTTCACTCGTCAAGCTCGTGGACGACGGCAGACTGCTGTAGTATTCGGACTGGGGCTGTTGCAACAAACTGTCGGGTGACGGCAGCTTCTTAGAAGACGAAGGGCTTCGGCTGCGTTCTCTCTGGCGATTCCAGTCTCGCATATGGCTACGGGAAGACGCGGGCCGTTGTGAGTCTGGCAGGTGCAGCATCTGCTGTCGCGGATCAATGTAGTGGCTCTGGCGATCTCGATGTCGATGTGTCTGAAAGCTGGGATGACAAGAGATTATCGTGTCCTCGTCTTCATCTCCGTCCAGTTGCCCTTGCATGGGCTGCAAGAACTGAGAGGGAAGCTGCTGCTGCTGGTTTCGTGGCCGGCACTGGGTAGAAGCTCTCCTTAAGCTCATGCCGCGTTTCAGAGGTTTGCCAGCACTTGAAAGAGTTGTAGATTGAGCGCCAGCGGGCGCCATTGCTGATACGGGGGCCATGACTTGAGTTTTTGGAGCCAGGAGCTTAACTAAGTTCCGGCGTGAGAGGGCAAAACGAAAGGCAGGTGACGAACAGGGCTTCCGCGCTGAGTAATAACGAAAGCACAGGTATTGAGTCGGTACTCTTCTGCAGTTGAAAGCGAGGATGAACAATGGGAGTTGTCGGAAGCCGCGCGAGAGAGGAGGAAAGAAAGATGGTCGGATTCGTCGCCAGTTGGAGTGGCATGGCATCGCGGGTACTCGTAGTATTAGCATATTGGCGGGCTGGCATATTAGGTAGCCATGACTGCACACAGAACAGAAGCGCCCAGTACGGCATCGACCTGTCCAGCCATACTCGTACACCAGACCTAGCCATGGATATCCATAGCCATACTGTCCTGTAAGCGACTCCACGTTGTGTTCCTGGCTTCGGCTGCAAATCCCCCCCTGGTCGCCAAGATATCGAGCTCTGGCCAGCCGGTAGCTCGAGCCAGCGCCAGCGCCAGGATTCGTCGTTGGAAAAGCCGCTGGCTCCAGAGGGTTACAGTACGAGCAGCCGTCACATCTGGGGCAGCAACGCAACTGACAGAGCTAGAAGCGGCCGAGCGACAGGGGGCCAGTGATTTGCAGTGGAGAGGCCGCGAGATTGTGCAGGCTGGGGTTGTGCAATTGTGTGAGCGAAGTCTGGACGGGATTGGTGGCGGATGGCGGGGGCAGCCAGTGCTAGCAGCAGCGCCTATGTAGAGCGGCCTCTTGTATCACGCACCATCTTCTCTGGATAAACACTCTGGCTGTGTACCTGACCATTGTGATGGCGCTCATGATGATGCGGGCGCGTGAGCAATTGGAGGCATCACTTGTCACATTCTCTCTCGCCTGGGTTAGGAGAGGGTGATTTGGGGAGTTTCATGCACTGTCGATGCGGGTTTGAAAGCTTCAACGCCCCCCCGAGAAGGGATCAACAGCCTACCTAACAGGAACAGAAACAGGCACAGGCACAGCATCACAACCACCACCACCAGTGTCGCCATCCCCATCACCAGACAAGCATTCGGTCCTTGCTCGAGGCGCTACATGACGACGAATCGGGCAATCACAATCCTGCAACGCGCCAGGGCTCGCAGGCGGCGCCGTATCCGCTTCAGGCCTGGTCCTCCGCACCATCCATGATATCTCGAGGCTACGGCAAGCTAGAGAGCGTGCTTATTTTGGTGGCTCAGGGACCTGGCGGGGGGAGCAAGCATGGGCATGGGAACGTACGAGCAAGCGAAAGTCGTTTGTCGCCAGCCCCTGCAATCCTCTCGCTCTCTTTTCGTCTATCCAGGAACCATCGTGCTCTTGACGAAACCCGCTCGGCCTAGACGAGGCTACAACCGCCGCAAGCACACCAGCCCAGAACACTCGATATCAAGACGGAAATTGACGAGAGATTTAGGCAGTGGCTGAAGATGGGCCCCTTGCCCCTGGCGCAATTGAACGCGAAGTGGTTGTCAAACGGTCGCGACTAAGAGAGGTACGGAGTACTGCAATGCTGTGCGACACGACAACCTTGATATGATATGATATGCATCCCTTGCGCGTCACGGCGTTGGGCATGATGAAATGATGCCTCTGGTACTTGCTCCTTTTTGCTGCAGATTGCAGATTGCAGATGTCTCGCATCATTGATGGCCAAGTGTCACCATCATTACCTGTATGCGCGCATACGAGTAGTTGGCAGTCAAATGTCAAGCCCGAATCGAAGCATGTACTCACGACCATGTGCGTGCTTCGCAACGGCTCCTCTTAAGTACGTGGGCGCTTCACCAAAAAGCCTTGCCCTTCCCACCTCGTCCAGATGCCGCCGATCAGTGCTTCTTCTCATCAACCCCATGCACGGTGCACCGCACACACCGGCCGCCGCTTTTACCTGAAAGCTCAGCCCATCAGAGGGCCCTGGTCCGACGTCTTGGTGTGGGGGATTAAGCATGGAGTGTAAGTCGGGCACTCTACTGTGTATGTACGGTTGAGCATTGCAGGACATGGGAAAGTAGGTATTTTGGATTGCGACGAGCCGAATTGGAGATGGCTCTTCGCCCGGTTGCGTTCGCTTACTCGGCTATCAACATTCAATGCGACTGCTCACCATCAGCATTGAGCAGACAACATCAAAAAAGGTACAGTTGAGCGGGTTGGGTTTGAGTGCCGGGGCCGTCTCATTTGCCTTGCTGCTATATTTGTGCTACCAACACTAGCATGGACCCTTTCCATCAGTTGCGCCGAATTCGTCCATGCTATGACGAAGCAACGGCGTTAAGAAGGCGATCGCAATTACAGAGTGCAGACTACGCTTGCTACGGAAGGCATCGGTAACACGTCAGTCAGTCCAGAGTCGTCGATCCATACGGGGATTTGGTAAGAGTAGCATGGAGCACTTCTGACCTTCCAGAAGTTTGCCCCAGGGTCCCTGATTGTCAGATCAGCAGTCGATCAACGGCAACGCTCGTCCTCTTCCGCATTGGTGACATCTCATGCGTATGAGACACCATCACCATTATTCGTGCTACCCTCTTGACATGTGCATTAGACCCTTTTCTTCTTCTTCTCCGCTCCCTTTCCCTTTTGCGCTTTATCGCTCCGACATGCTAGGGCGGTTTCTACTCGGTTATAATGGCTTCTCGGCAAGGCTATGGAGTCGTGTGCAGGGAGTCTAATGAGGTGCCGCAACTCGACTCGCTGGTTCAGAATTCCAAGCCGGCGGCATTTGTTGTCGTCTACTTAGCGTCTACGGTCCACTTGGTGTGATACGTGCATGTATGGATCGACCGACGGGCCATTCGGGGCGATTTGTCTCAGCATCGTCAACACGTGCGTCACGGAGTGTTGCGCATACTCATTTCCCATGATGCCGCTCAAATGCAGGCTGTAGATAGAGTACGAGCACCTTTGTTGAGGCAGCCCATAGATTAGGGAGATTAGGTGCTATAGAGAGCTTTTACACAATTCAAATGCAATTATAAGTCTTTTCAGAATATCACCAAGTCAGTGTACTCTCCACACGTCCAATATCGTCCTCTTTATTCATCAAAGACCTTTCCTGGATTTAACAACCAACTTGATGATGTCAGGTAAGCAGAATATTAACCCAAAAATTAGAGCACATAGACCTACTGCGGATCAAGTGCATCCTTCAAAGCCTTCATGACCCCGATTGTCGTCGGACCTAGCTCCTTGAGAAGGCAGTCCTAATCACCTATCAGATTTGTGTAGAGAAAAGTTAGATGAACATGCTACATTACCTTCTTCCCAAGGCCAATACCATGCTCGCCCTACCAAGAACTATCAGTAATGCAACAGGAGGACGGAAAAGACGACAAGTCGACTTACTGACACGGTTCCTTCCATCTCAATTGCCCTCTTCACCATGGTATCGACGCAGTCTGCTACCTTTTCCTTTCCAATGACGTCGTTGGGGAGATAAAACAATGCTTGGTGAAAATTCCCGTCTCCCACATGTCCCAGCACGCTATTCCAGAGATCAAGACCCGTTGCTTTGACCCTAGACTCTTCTATTCATGGGTAAAGAGAAGCTATAAGCGAGTTGTAATGCAGGTTGGTTGTTGAACTTACCGATCAAATCAGCCATACGGGATATAGGCACGGCAACATCGGTGCTCCAAATCAGGGCGCCCCGTGGCTGCGCCGCAACTGCTGCGAAAATTGCGTTTCTCCTGGCTGACCAAAGAGATTCCAATTCTTTTTCTCCATATACACTGTCAAAAGTTCTGGCGCTGTGTGTACGACATATGGTCTGTGCCGCCTTGATGCTATCCTTGACGGAGTTTTCGGTACCTGAGAATCTGATCCTACATGTTAGGCACACTGATGGTTTGATCAACTGTAAAGGGGTTATTGGTATAATATAATACATACTTTAGGAACAGAGTTGGGTTTTCTTCCCACATCTTACCGGCAGTTCCTCCACTCTTGTTTATGCTCCGCATCTGTTGATCGTCCATCAGTTCTAAAGCGGCCAAGGGGAGGCCTGCGCGGACCATCGTGGACGCGGCGGCCACAGCATGGTGAACCGATCCGAAGGCGGCGGCGGCGGCACTGAGATTTGTCGGCAGCACCGCCAACTTGAGCGTAGCTTGAGTGATGATGCCGAGAGTCCCTTCTGATCCTGTGAACAAGGAGTTGAGATTGTATCCTGCCGACGTCTTCCTCGGCCGGTGTCTTGTTTTGATAACGGTGCCATCGGCCAAGACAACTGTCAAGTTGACGACATAATCCTTCATCGCACCGTATCTCATAGCATTAGTTCCGCTGCAGTTGGTAGCCACCATTCCCCCGATGAGGGCGGTTGGGCCTGGGTCAGGCGGCAAGAAGAGGCCAGTATCTTTAATCTCTTCATTCAATACCGTCCAATTGACTCCAGCCTGCACAACGACGTCCATATCCTGTGGGTGAAATTCGACAATCTTATCCATCTCGCACATGTCGATGCATATGCCCGAAAAGGGGGAGCTGTAGTTCCCCTCAACACTAGATTTGGCTCCGAAAGGTATCATTGGAACTCTATATTTGGTGCATATCTTTGCGATGGCTGACACTTGCTCTGTTGACTGTGGTCTCACAACGGCAATTGGCCTTTCATCCGTGTTTGATGTTGAAAATTCGGAGTAGCCGTGATATTCCAAATCATCTGGATCGGTGCTCACTGCTTCTTCTCCAAGCTCACAACGAATCTCGTCAACAGCCTGGCGATATTTTGTTAGTGTCTTGATTTATGTATATGGATGGGGTGTATCTATTCATCCTGGGATACATCTATCCGCTCAACTCACTTTCAGCATTGTCCTTTTATCAGCATACTTGGATCGTAGGCTAGACAGCTTGGTTGATTCACCCCATCTTGGTGCCGTATTCCCAATTGGACCAGATAACGAGAGCTTTAGCGTAGACACTGAAGCGCCTCCAAGCAATACTCCGACCAGCAAGTAGGCGAACGATCTGTTACGGTATCCTTGTGATTGTGT